TAAATAAACAACATTGAGAAATGCCTGAAAACCATACCTGCTCTGTGAGTGAAATTGGGTAGATGAAACTGTTCAGAAATTGTAAATGGTTGTACTAGCATGAAGTCACAAGTCATCATGACTGAAGCTTTGAGTGTACTGGCTTTATTCAAACTGTTGATCATGCCAGATTGTGCACTCTCTCCCAGAAACTTGACATTTGCTCAGTTACAGTATAAACCAGAGTTTGGCTCTATTGGTATTGAACAAACACAAAATGTGCCTAAGTGTGTCATCTATCCCCACCCCAGCAGACAGATATACTCAGAAAGGAGTGGTCATACATGTCTATAGAATTAAATAATTTTTAGATTTTAACTATCTTGCAAATTCCATAGGAAATATTTCCTGTGGAATTTTATAAATGGCTGAAGATATTGAAAATTTTTCAATTTCTAGCTGATTCTTCAAGAATCTTCCAGACAAAGAAAACAGCTAATGGGCAAAAAGAGCTTAAGTCATTGGTTTGGAAGCAGCCTCATTCTGAGACTTCACACATTTTATCATTGGGAGAGATAAGAGTTGTCAAACAGGTACAGACAGAAACTAATTTCAATGTCTTCTTGTCCCACTGTAAGCCAATTTTCAAGAATAAAGTTGTGAAATTCTTATAACTACCACTTATTGACTATTTTGTTATTTTATGCAATTCTTCAACATTTTTTAATCAATTCCCCCAAGTAAGGCAATAATACCACTAAGATACATCAAATGAAAAAGAAAGAAAAAATTCGAAGAACTGGAAATACAATCCTAATAAACCAATACTTAACAGGTAAAATTCAAGCTTATGGCAACACTTCAGATATGTCTGTCTTAACCCATTAATGGTCACTGTTCAAAAACTGGAAAAGTGGACATTAATGGATTATAGGCAGAAACCTATAATTAATATCAAATTTTTTGTGATTTATAATCAGTTATTTATCAGTCATCCAATCGTAGAAATCTGAAAGCTCCCCCTTGGTCCACTCCTTCAGTTCAACTGCATTCGAAGACAGATGAACCGAAAACTCTCCCTATCTTCAGGTTGGCTCGCCTCTTTATATAGAGAACTGGTGACGTATCTGTTGTTCTAGTGCAAATGTATTGACATACTTTCAAAGTACAATTTCACTCTTCCGAGTAAATTCTTTCACTGAATGTTTTTCCAAGGTCCACAACAAGACTCCATTGTTTATCACCTCGCTATCAACCACTGCTGCTTTTTGTAAACTACAGAGAGTCTTGTTTCAAAAATAAATTCTAAATCAAAACATTCTTTATTTTAACTTCAATTCTCACAGTGTCAAAATCCATTTCTTTTTCTAAAAATTCCAATTATCATTGTCCCAGTAATTATCTATTAGTAATCTGATATCCTTTGTACACTTACAAAAAGATTGTATTTCATGTTCTAAATTAACTTTCTGTAAGATTTACATTTCATCTTGATTCTTTTAAAAATGCCATTTTTCTGTGTTACAGCATATTCTCCTTTATTATCATTATTATTATTTCGGGGGGGGGGGGTGATATCACCCCTGCCACAAAATCCCTAAATACAAACAGTATTTAAACTGATTTCAAGCTTGATTGTTATTAAGGAAACTAGTCAAAATATTTTTATTTATATTTGTAGGATGTGATTCAGGCCAGGAAATATCAGAGGTCTGAATCAAATTTAATGTCCATCAAGAAGCTTTGATTTAAAAAGAGTTGATCTATAGTAACCTCACTATGTACTGAGTTCACCCTATAAAATACCATACTAAGCTTTGAACTCAGTTTCATATAAGGACAGCAAAAGTCTAGGGTTAACCATTATCTTCCCCATATATACCCTTAAACTGTGCCTTTTACTCAATATTTCTTTATCACAACTCTTGGCCTTGTACAGAGTAAACATTAATGTAAGTGCTGGGTATGATGATAAACTACATATGGCAGCAAGACCTCTGATCAGGAGATTGGAAGTTTTTAGGAATATGGAAGCACCTCTTAATTGCTGTTGTTCCCAGGTCCACCCTGACCTGGGGTGGTAGCACCTGTTAGGGTCCCAGTTATAGGCAAATAGTAAACGATCAAATAAAAACAAAACACTATGAAAATATAAAAATATGTTTTTATAGCAAAAATACCAGTAATTCATTTTATATAATAAATTACCAGCAATACCTAATTATTGTAAGTAAAATGACCAACAATACCAATTTATAGCTAAATGAAAATGGCACAGTGGATAAAGGCATTAGTTAGATCCAGTGACAGGACCCAAAGAGTGTGAGTTCAATACCTGGTTAAGGCAGTGAATAACTTTCAGAGGGAAATTAACAGAAGATAACTGATAACTGACATCCATTAAACATCTACCCCAGTGAGCGAAATAAAGGGTTCAGTTTGACATTCCAACCACCTGAAGAAGGTCGGAGTGTACAATGGCCGAAACGTTGTAATAAATATGGCAACAAAGATGAGGACAATAGTCCGAATAATGTAAATAATTTACATAATACCTCATCTCAGAAACATAGACAAATACCTATTTATAGTAAAATGACTATCCCCAATACCTATTTATAATAAAATTACCAACAATACATTTCTAAAGCAAAATGAACAGCAATACATTTTATAGCAAAATGGCCACCAAGACATTTTATTTATAGTTGAAGTCATACAATTTTGTTCAAAATATATTTAGCTGAAGCCATAAAATTGTGTTCAAAATATTTAGATTTTGGCATGAAATTACCCATAGAGGTGTTGATATGCTGCTAAACAAAAATCAACCAACCAACGAACATTAATATAAAAAAAATGAAACTCATTCCTCACTTTGGATTTCTTCTTCTTCCTCTTTCCCTTACACCCTACAACCAGTGCTCAAAACCCAATAAAAATCAGGCTATATAAGTGTCACAGTGCTTAGGAACTGCTCTTAGTGAGATATAGGAGAACCCTGAACCAGAGTCATGTTGCAGTGTCTGGGACCTAACCCCAAATCTGTGTCAAGTAACATAAAATTGTGTGGTCACTTGTACCACTCTCACCCTTGAGCTTAGAAGAAAGCTTTACTTACTCCAAATTTGAGATTGCCTTCTCAGAAATTCCATTCAGTGTTACATCCAGAGACAAAAAAACTGATACAAGCAGAATGTTTCTTCTTGTGTGCATGTGAAGGAAAGGTAAGGAATAGTGAAAAATATGGTAGATTGTTGTAGATAGAACACAGAGGAAGACTGAAGAAAAGAAGTAAATTAACTTTAATGAATAGGTCATTTTATATTATTTTTTTACAGTAAGGTTCACTCTGTACAAGGCCAGGGGAACCACACAAAGTAGAGGGCTATGTTAAGGTGTAGTTTATATGGATAAGAGGGGAAGATAACAGTTAATTCTGGACTTGAACAGGTTAAGATTGTAGTGATCTGGGAAACATCCTCTTGGGAGTCTGTTCCACAGGGTAGTGGTTCATGGGAAGAAGCTGTTTGAGTGGAACTTACTTCTTGCTGATGGAATAGACGGAATATGGGCAGTTTGCTACTATGTAAGTGGCATGGCAGGTCCTAGCTTTGAAGTTTAGGCCTGGTGGAACCAAAGAATGTAGTTCATCCAAGCACTTTCATTGGTAGTAGTGATAGAGCAGTGAGAGGCTCACCATGTCCCACCAGTGAGAAAGAGGTTGGAGGGTGGAAAATAATTCTTCTCCAACAAGGACTTGGAGACACTTTTAAACTCTATCAAAACTGGAAAGTGAGGACTGGGCATCACCTGGCCAAATATAGTAACAGAACTCCATTTCTGGCCGGATCTGGCTCTTGTAAAGGTAGAGGATAGCAGGAAAAGTCAGGTACTTACTGTAGCGATACAAAGACCAGACAATTTTACTTGCATCCATAGCAATGGATTGTATATATGAGTTCAGTTGTGAATTTGAGGCCCAATATTCTTTCAAAGCCTCCTTGAAAGAACATTTGTTCATCATGGCTGGCCATAATTTGGGGTCAGATAAACGGTGATGGAATCTAACTAGTTTGGTTTTTGAGGCATTGAATGTAACCAGCCAGTTTTTAGCCCACTGGTAGGTTAGTGTTAGATTTGGAAGAGTGGCCAGCTGCTAATCTCTGATCATCAAGATTCTTAGAGGTGCACCTGCATATTGTTATATCATAGGCAAAGATGTTTACAAATGATCAGAGTATATTCTTCGGCAGATCATTTCTGTAAATCAGAAACAGTAAAAAGATGATTCACTCAACTTCAGTATCCATCAGTTGATTAATTTACTTTCTCTGCACTCAAATGATTCAGAACACAAATTGATCCACTTTTCCCTTTGCATTAATGCCATTAGGAAAGGCATGAATCCACTCCCCCCTACAGCTATGAGTAAAGTATACTAAAGTTCACCCAGTGCAAGGCTCACCAGCCACTCAAGGTAGAGGGTTACTATTAAATTGGTAATGAGGAATAAGGTGTGTGATATGAATAAAAGAGGAAGTGGTAAGAAAATAAGCTTACTAGTTTAAATAACAATAGTTGGAGCTCTTTAACTCTGGAGGGTAGTGTATTTTTGGCATGAGGTTAGCATCTTCAGCTTGTAAAATTTCACTTATATTGAAACTGCAGCTGCATAATTTGGTTGCAGCCTGATGCACTACAAAGAATTTACAGAAATAAACAGTATGTGAAAATGCTAACAGTTGTTACTACAAACACAAGAGAATTTTTTTTTAAATTCTGAGATAATGTCTTTTTTTCTTGGTGCCATGGATATGATGCTGGATGCCATATATGATTTCATGGTTATGTCATAAAATCAATAATCATTACTAAATTCTATTTGATATAACTGGTGAAATATGATCGCACATCATAAAGATGACGGCATAATGCTTAATAGAAAAGATAATAAAATTGCAAGATAAATCTTTTTTTTTCAGAAAAGACAAGATGAGGGTATTTAAGTGTAATAGGCTTACAGCCACATCATGTTGAAACACCAGTTCCCATATGATCACCGAAGTTAAGCAACATTGAACCAGCTCAGTACTGAGATGGGTGACAATTTGGGAATATCAGGTGCCATAAGCTTGGATGTGTAGGTGGTGTAATAGATAATGGCTCAAAATTGTTAATCAGAGAGCCAAGTTCCAATTCCAGTTGGGTTCATTATATTCACCTATATGCAAATATGCTTTGGAAAAGTATGACTCCATCTCATAAGCTATGCGTTAATCAGTAGGTCTTCTATCAGTAAACCATTTTTATTTCCCCAGCCACCACAAAATTCTAAAAATATTTTCTGGCTTTAAACTTAAATAAACTTTAATTTGGCATTTTCTTTATCAGTGTTAATAGTTTCCTGAAAGCTTCAATTTTTTAAATTCATTGTTCACACAGTAAATTAGTTCTTTGAAGTTAAAAGTAAAAGTTCGGTTCCCATATAATCCCCAGTTAGGCAATGTTAAGCCTGGTCAGTACCTAAATGGGTGACCATTTGGGAATATCAGGTGCTGTAAGCTTTGATATGCAGGTAATGTAATGGATAATGACTAAGAATTGTTAATCAGAGAGACAAGTTCCAATTCCAGTCAGGTTTAAATTCACTCTCCAATTACAGTCAGGTTTATATTCACTTACATGCAAATATGCTTTGGAAAGGTATGAATACACCTCTTGTCCCCTAGCTATGGGTTAATTAGTAAGACTTTTATCACTAAACCATTATTATCTCCCTCTGACCACCACCAAAAAGTAAATTCTTATAATCTGACTTTAAATAACCTACAAAAGGTTGATAAGACATAAAACATGAATCAATCAATCAATCAAGTGTAATAAAAAAGAATGGCCTATTATGAATAACAACAGAAAGGAAACCAACAGCCAATCATAAAAGTGAAAAAACTAACAGTCACTCATAAAAATATAACAGCCACTCATAAAAGTGAAAAAACTAACACCCACTCATAAAAATCTAACAGCTACTAATAAAAATAAAAAAACTAACAGCCACTCATAAAAACTAACAGCTACTCATAAAAGTAAAAAAAAAACTAACAGCCACTCATAAAAAAACTAACAACCACTCATAAAAAAACTAACAGCCACTCATAAAAAAACAGCCACTCATAAAAAAAACTAGCAGCCACTCATAAAAGCAAAATAACTAACAACCACTCATAAAAATGAAAACAGTGATAGCAGAGCTTGTGTATCATATTGGATCTCAGAAAAATCTCATTATTCCTTTAAAAAATTCTTTCGAATGAATAGAGATTAAGAACTGAAATATTGATACACTGTGGTGCATGTGAGTTGTAAGTCACAAGAAAGTAATTACTAATATGTCCTCTCAGCTGATATTCATTCAATACTAAAAAAAGAAAGTGTTTTGTTCTAAATGGATTAGATATTTTTCTCTGAAAAATGATTATATTAGAACATAAGAAGATTAAAAAAGTCTTCCTGCGTTAGAATGTCTAGTCATCTAGTAATGAGTTGAATCAAATGCATTTTACAACTGAACATCATCCTTTACAGTATTGACAAATGTCCTCCTTTACAGTATTGACAAATGTCCTTATCATAATTAAAAATGATTTATTTTTTCACTTGTTTTAAATGTCAAGAAAAGGCACAAGCTATAGAAACTGACAACAAAGCATTCTTATCTGCAAAGAATGATGCAATTGAAGAAACAAACAAAAAATTGATGCAACAGATTTTCTGTAATGGTTCAATTGTAAAAGTCAAATGATATGTTCTTAGGCATTTGAAAGGCTGCTCAAACCCAGTGGGAATACCAGGTACTGTAAGTTTAAAAGTGGTGGTGGTGTAATGGATGTAAGCATGAAACTGTTAATCGAATTTTTTTGAGTTCCAATTTTGGGTTTATTATGCTCACTTACATGCAAATAGTCTAGGGAAAGGTATGAATCCATCTCTTCTGCCCCCAGCTATATGTTAATTAATAAGACTTGTATCGCTAAACCATTATTATCTCCAAAATATTCTTACAATCTAAAAATATTTTCTGGCTTTAAATAATCTACAAATGGTTGATAAGCCATAAAAAATGAATCAATAAAACAATAAATAATCAAAACCCAAGATGCATAGCATTTCTCCCTACAGGCTTTCAACTGTAAATTGGTGAGACCTAGCTGCCAATCTAGTACTGCACTTAAAATCATAAAGTCTAGGTACCAAAGAGGAAAGATCATCAGAACAATTACCATGAATGTATTTATAGAAAAGGCACTACAGGGAATCTACATTACAGCAATGGGAAAGTGATGGAAGTTGAGATGCCAGGTCAGAACCATGGACAATGCAGATTCTTCTTTGAATTTTATCAAGAATCTCTATATACATAGCATAAGTACCAAACTATATGTGGCAGCAAAATTCAAAGCCTGAACAAATAGTAAACTTATAAATGTGTAAGATAGATTCTGGCGAGAAAATTTGTCTTCACAGTGAGCCAACTTTCCTAGCAGCAGACCTATCAATTGATTCAATATAATCATTCTACTTCATGTTAGCAGAAAACTTTAGCTTGAGAAGGTGCAATGAGTCACTCTCCTGTAGGTTAGCATCAACCATACTGATGGAAGGCAGAAAGGGGTTCTTTCAGATGATTAAAAGAGAGTAATTTATATATATATATATATATATATATATATATATATATATGAATGCAAGGTATGTATAGGAGCAAAGTTTTGTTTAGAGATTGAACTAGGAAATGATAAACTCTTAGGGTGAACATGCTAGAAGAAATCCATTGTTTTGTTGCACAATGATCTGTTGGTATACAATTATAATAAAAATGTTTTGTATTTCTTCCCTCCCCTACATGTATATGATTACATCACTAAAATGACTATCTATCTATCTATCTATCTATCTATCTATCTATCTCTGTCTCTGTCTCTCTCTCTATATATATATAGATAGATATTAATGTATATTTCGGCAGCAACCTTTCTTTTAAACATCTTTCGTTAAATATGACAAACAAGGAAAATTTAATTAATTTTTTTTTATTTAGCTTTTCCAGCATTCTTACATTTCCACTTGGTGGGAGTACAAAAGTTGTTCATATTGTTCATTGTCCCAATCATTTTTTACCATTTGTTCTTTTACAGTGATTTTCAAGAGAGTTTTGTTTAAGTGTTGTTAATTTCTCTTTATGTTTTAACTGTTTAAGATGTATTTCTTTTGTATATATATATATATATATATATATATATATATATATATATATATATATATATATAATTGAATATAAATTTAATCTGTTTTAAATTTTTAATCTATTTAAATCAATATATATATATATATATATATATATATATATACAAAGAAATATATATATATATTGAAAATAAATATACATAATCCCAAATATGAAAACCAGCATTACATTAGCATATATATATATTATATATATATATATATATATATATATATATATATATATATTCTTATTTGAAATATTGATTATAACTTGTTTGGTGGATGTTAGGTTTTATTATGCAATTTTTTAGCATGATGTTTTTATTTATAAATAAATCCAAAAGTTAAGACCAAACAAACATACATTTGATTACAGCAATATTTCAAATACTCAGTGTTTCATGATTCCAATGCACATTCAGGTTTTGTTGTCAATTTTCCAGTCTGTTATAACACAACCCAGACCATTAAATTTCTGTACTTGCTTTATTTTGATGTCACCAATATCTAACTCATGTCTTCGGCAGTCCTTCTTGTTAATAAACACATATTCTGTCTTCTTACAATTGATGATTAGACCTTTCTTCTTGCATTCCTTTACTACCTTGTCTAGAAATTCCTGCAGTTTTCTTTCTGTGTCTGCCATCAACACTGTATCATCTACATATCCTAGGTTGTTAAGATTATGCTTGCAAATAATAAATCCTGGTAGGACTCCTAGTTCTCTTAGAATAACTGTAAAGATTGAATAATCCAATGGGAACATGCATCCTTGTCTTACACCCCTTTCTATTTCTTAATTCATTCCAGAGCCATATGCAGATTGTTTGTTTCTAGTAAATGTTCTGAATTATTCTAATATCTTTCCTAAATAATTAAAGTTTTCTTTGCAGCTCAAATAGATCTTTGTATCATAACTTATCAAATGCTTTTGCATATTCTTTACAGTGTCTCATAGCTTTTATTTTTAGCCAGAACATAATACCACCACATAGTAAATGGCTTGTAAACTTTAATGCCTCTAAAATGAAACTGCTCTCATTCACCCTCCCTACCTCCCATCAGAATGGCTGATGCCCAACTCCACAAGAGCACCTCTCTGCACCTGCTTGGTCTCACACTGTCCACTGACCTGAAGTGGAACAATTACATTGAATCTATAGTTTCATCTACTGCAAGGAAAGTTGGTTCTCTGTGTCGTGCCAGAAGGTTTTTCTCGCCTGCATCCATCCTTCAAATCTACAAATCAACCATTTGTTGTTGCATGGAATACTGCTGCGATATATGATCTGGTGCTCCCACTGTTTATCTTGAGGTCCACGACAAAATCCAAAGATGGTAATGCAAGATGATTAGTCCTGATCTGGCATCCTGTCTACAGCCACTATCTCACAGATGTACTGTGGCTTCCCTCTGTCTTTTCTACAAGTACCTCCATGGCAATTACTCTGACAAGCTACTTTAACTTTAAATGTTGAACTGAACCCTTTATTTCACTCGCTAGGGTAGACTGTTCTAGTTCCACGTGCCATGTCTAATGGATGTCAGTTAATTCCCCTCTCCAAGTTCTCCACTGCCTTAACCAGGTATTGAACTCATGCTCCTTGAGTACTGTCACTGATTCTAACTAACGCCTTTATCCACTGTGCTATGTGTATGAATTTCTGGGTATTATAAACCTAATGTCTTCAGCAGCCATTTTTACCAGTGCTCATATTGCAATTTTTGCTGTTATCATTGCATGATCATTACCAGAGCTAATATTGCAATTTTCCTTGCTATTATCGCTTTACTCTGGTATTCCTTATTACTGGTTCTCATATTGTATTCATTTCTATGCTT